GTTGGCATCAGTATGCTGTAGATCTATTTGAGTCCAATCGGCCACGTCCACCCCATCACACAACTGAGGTTGAACGAAACCCGCCGTCACCGGAAGAGACCAAGAAAGCCATACAGGCACTGAAAAACCACAAGGCTCCCGGAGTTGATTGCGTCACATCTGAAGCTCTTAAAGCTGCGACGCAGGACCCAGAGATATTCAAAACCCTTCATGGGGCCGTGTGTAACATCTGGAACTCTGGAAAGTGGCCACAGTCGATGACCAAGTCAGTGTACATCCCGTTGCACAAAAAGAGTGACCGAGGCTTGTGCAACAACTACAGAACACTTGCACTAATCAGTCATGCCAGCAAAATTGTTCTGAATGTGATACAACGCAGACTGGAAAGAACTGCTAACATCGAAGTGAGTGACACCCGATGTGGCTTTGTAAGCGGTAAAAGCACAACTGATGGAATCTACCTCCTGAAAGGTGTGGCGGAATGGCACTACGCAGGAAAACGCCCTCTCCATCTGGTCTTTGTTGACTATAAGAAGGCATTTGATTCAGTTAATCATGCACTTCTGTTTGCAAAGCTACGATATCTTGGCGTGGAGGAGGATGTGATGCGGCTACTTGAGGATCTTTACATCAACTCAAATGGCAAGCTCCGGTGGAAAGGTCGGATGGCAGACGAGTTTGAGACACCAGTCGGAGTACGCCAAGGCTGTCCATTGTCACCAACACTCTTCAGCCTCTACACTGAGTGTCTCATGCGAGAGTGGTACAATCGCACAGCACACCTAACGGCTCCAGATGTCAGTGGTATCCCCCTAAAGGAGATCAGATATGCTGATGACCTGGTACTGATGGCACTGTGCAGAGCTGATGCTGAAGAGATGCTTACTACCCTGGGTGATATATCTGACGGGTATGGGTTAGCCATCCACCCTGGTAAGACTGCATATATGATCATCCAGCCAACAACCGATGACAGCACCATCACATACCGCTCGGCACAAATACCTCGTGTCACATCTTTCAAGTATCTAGGAGTGTTGATCGACCACACAATAGACGACAGCAAGGAGGTTCGGATGCGGTTAGGTATGGGCAGATCCACTCTTCGGCAGTGCAAGTATCTGCGCTCTCCCCGCGTCAGCCTTGAGGTAAAGGTACAGCTTGCTCGGGCCCTAGTCATATCAAGGGTACTGTATGGTGCCACCACCCTATCGTTGAAGGCAGCTGACATCAAACGCCTAGACAATTTTGGCCGAACCATTTGGCGTCACCTGCTCAACATCAAGTGGCAAGATCATGTGACAAATGAAAGACTGATGGAGATGATCGGTGACCGGTGGTGCTTCAGCAGTGATGGAACGAAAGGCAGCATGGTTGGGCCATGTGGTTCGGCATGGCGGCAGCTGTTGTGGATGGGATGCCAGTGGGATGTCGTCGCTCCGTGGGCCGGCCAAAGATGCGCTGGGTGGACAACATCCCTGAATGGTCTGGGTGTGACACCAACGAACTGAAAGCAGCAGCACTGGAAAGACGGGCTGTGGTGGGAGCGGCGCCAGTGATCCCAACTGTGTATAATTTGAGGAGGAGACCACGGGTAAATGCCTATGTCTAACGAATGAATGAATGGGATAAGGGGAAAAACACAGAGATGGATCAGGGAATTCTTAACCAACCGGTCACAAAGAGTTGTGGTAAATGGAAAATCTTTGAAATGGCAAAGTGTCGACAGTGGCATACCACAAGGCACCGTGCTTGGCCCCCATTGGTTTTTACTTTTCATCGATGACATTAGCAAATCAGTGACTGGCACAACTCTCCTTTTCGCTGACGACTGCCTGTTATATCGGAAGATCTGCTCATCAACTGATGAACTGATGTTCCAAAAAGACCTGGACAACTTGGCTCACTGGGCGCAAACCTGGGGAATGAAATTTAACTCCAGCAAATGTAACATCATGCGAATCTCCGGGAAGCGGGCCCCCGGCAAAACTAACTACACCATGTTAGGATCCAACCTCGTAGAGAAAACCAACATCACATATTTGGGAATAATCATTCAGAATAACCCAAGTTGGAATCACCAAACAGCACATGCCACTTCCAAAGCAAGTTGTATATTGAACTTCATCAAAATAAATTTTCATTCTGCATCCAGATCAGTCAAAGAAAAGCTGTACTTAGCAGTAGTCAGACCACACCTAGAATATGGCAGCATTGCTTGGAACCCTCACATAGCTAAGAACATAACATCCCTGGAAAAAGTGCAACTGATGAGGGCTGCTCGTTTCGTAATGCGAGATTATTCCAGACTGAGCAGTGTGACCGACATGTTGACAACCCTAGGCTGGTTTTCACTGGAAGAGAGAAGGAAAGTTAACCAACTTACCTACTAAAATAATACACAACATAGTTCACATTAACTCATCATCCATAGTCCCCAAACCAGCACCGGCTCATAGAATTCACAACCACCAGTTCACAGAAATTGCAGCAAGGACAGACATCTATATGCAGTCATTCCTACCCAGAACTATCCGGAAATGGAACAAGCTCCCTCAAGACACCACAGACGCCCCAAACCACAACACCTTTAAGGATTTAATTTAGTTCCACTTCCCAAGGCCTCCTTGCTAGACTTCCACGTGGAGTATTCAGGATAACCACCAAGTACCAAGTAAAGGTGCAATTTTTTTATGAAATTGAACCCTCATTCCCCCAATTTATAAAAATTACCTGGAAAGCAACAAAACTATCTCGCAGCAAAATTAATTTCACTGGGTTAAAGTATTAAGTTTCCAATAAGCAAGAATGGACAAAATAACATGAATGAGATTACACTTAGCTGACCTGGCAAAGGAGCAAATGTCCTCACCAAGTAAAAGAATAACAAGTCACCTTTGGATTTGTCCTCCTCATCTTCATTGGGAATAACATCCATAGTGATGGCCACATCTGTTGGCATCTTGACAACATCACCCTCTGTAACTGTGGTTGACGTTACCTCCCCAGTTGGGACATCATCAGAAGTTGGTCCCTGCTACTCATCCATTTTGGTGTTATTACGTTGGACCAAAAACACACTGGAAATATAAAGAAACTGCACATAAAGCAGTTGTATACTATTGAAAGCCATGACCAGTGGGATATCTAGGGGGAGGGGTCAAAATTTGTCCCTGCTCATTTTGACTTTTTAGGACATATCATTTTCTGATGGCTGATAGGTCATTTAAGGGAAAAATTACGGCGATCGTGAAGTGTAGGGCCCCCGTTTTGTTTTGATCAAATTAGAATCAAAAATGTTTTTTATTGCTCAAAACTCACCTTTACAATCAAAAGCAGCCTTTTCTCAATTCTAATAACACCCATTTTCCAATTTTGAACAGATTCTTGGGGTAGAAATCACGTTTTTTTACTGTGCGGTTTGTACCTTGGGATTCAGCGCGCCTTGCATGCTCACGGAACATCGCGCGGTGATTGCCATCTTAATTTTCGGGTCGCATGTTGTCGCCGCGCCGTCATTGTCATTTTACCCCCAAATTTCCCTCAAAACATCAAAACCCTGCCCTCTATCTATGACAAACCTGTTTATTGAGAATGTTGCAAACTATTATGGTAGGTCAAATAATTTTTAAGTGGATTTTGTTCCCCAAGTTATAGGAACCGGGCCCTGCACTTCACGATGGCCGAAGTATTAACTCAACTGTAGCTGGAGTTACCCAGCCCTAAATTTTATCATTGGGTTGTCATCTAGATGACAACCCAATGATACCCAATTGGGTGCTGGGTAACTCCAGCTAACTCAACTGAGAAAACACTTAAAAATTTTCAGACCAGTCTCAAAGGGTTTGTGCACAGGGTGGCAAGTGATGGCCAGATACGGGAATCTTTCCTTTAATGTTAATTGTTATTGTTAATTAAGCATCTCAAACTTTTCACGAATGAGATACCACGCTATTGAATACAAATAATAAACGCAGTACGTCTATCAAACTCAAAGTATCATGTCCGATATGGCCACTTTTTGCAGTACGTTTCAGTTTCACTAAATAAAATAATGCAGATTTCACCAATAGCTAATATTAACAACTAAATTAATGTTATCATTTATTAAATGGTTAGATAAAATTATCTACTGATACTGACCAAGAAAGTGACACAGGCAACAGGTTTCGGCCACTCGGAAGATAGCGCCAGATTTACAGTCGCGTGTTTATGTTGTTGAATGCTGCCCTCATGTGTCGTTCGATTGGCATGCAAGCTCTTTCGAAACATCGGCCTCCATCGCAGGTCCCTACTGCTTCAGCTTCATATATTGAACTGGTAAAATATCCTTTTTTTTAACGAGACGCATACGTCTTCCATAACGGAAGCTCAACAATTTTTATTTGTCTATTATTATTTGACAACTCACGCTTTCTGGGTAGCTGTGTGGAAATTTCATAATCTTCTTAAATTTTTATAGTAGACGAAGCCGCAGCTGGGAATGAATCGAATTTTTAAAACTCTTTAAACCCATGTTTTCTTTTTTTCTGGAGGGCTAGGCCGGCGCTGTTTACGCAACTCAAGGGTAATCCTTACTTTTAGGACCCCTTTCCTATATAAGGTTAAAAGACTCACCAAAACAGCTGACTAAATGACACTCAAAAGTGACATTCTGATATTTCATGACACATTTGAACATTTGGCAATGACACCTCTTGAATATCAGCAGGTTTGATTTTGTAGAAAGAGGGCAGGGTTTTGATTTATGAGGGGTTAAAGACGACGATGACAAACAGAAAATAAATTTAAAAAGCAAGATGGCGAACTGCAAAAAAAGGTAGGAAAGTCACATTTTCTTTGAAAGTGCTTTCAAAATTATAACTAACATGAGTTTGTCTGAAGAAAAAAGGCTTCTTTAGCCTGCAAAAGTCACTTTGGTATTGGACAGTCATCTGCAAAAGTCAGTTTTGAACAGAACTCGTACAAAATAGAGGTGTCCTAAAAGTAAGGATTACCAACTCAAGTAAGTTTCCACAGGGAGAAATGGCTTTAAGGGAAATAAATAAGCTGTTTACGCTGAACACTAGTTTTTCAGTTTTTCCCCTTGACCAGTTTGAGTGGCTCTTCACCAAGGTAATGAAAGTCGAAGGAGCGTCAATAGAGCTAGAGAGGGGCTATGTGCAAATATTATGTTGGACATTTTACAAATCCCCGGGAGCATCAAACTAGGCCTATATCTATACTAATAAAAAAGTAATAATATAGCAGTGTTGAACCCCACCGTACAGGAGCGACACAAAATATTGAATTCTACTTCGAATGCTGGAGGGAACTATATGCTTAAAGGGAATATACAACATTTGCAAACATCGAAAAATATAACTACCCAGTTTTTACGAAATACCTTACTAGGCTGTTAGTAAATGACAGTGTAAAGCATCCTGTAAAATTATGACACCTGGTGTGAAGTCATTTTCAAGAAAAGTGGTATTTTTGTATACATTTCCAACGGTGGTCGGCCGACCACCGTTGGAAAAACCTAACTATTTTAACTACTGCGCCAAATTTACCATTTGTTCAGACCAAATTTTGTTTGCTATTGGTTACATGTTCATGAACGGGTGCAGGTCAACTAGACTGGTTCCCTCACCTTACAATTTTCCGGCATCTATAAATTGATACATTTCATCTTTAGTGGAGTCAGGGAACCAGACTACTTGAACATTTTTGTTTTTCTTGATTTTTCCCAGCATTTTCGAACACAAAACTACAAACATGTCAGTGTAACAATATTTGATCTATTATACTCACCCCTCAAATAATTCATTTCTGAAAATTACAGCAAAACCCAATGATGTACATTCCCTTTAAATGTTTCCAGTGACGGGTGCATATGTATAAGTAAACACTAAATGAAATGTTTTTTGTGGCTATAACTTTGCCAATAGAAATAATTATTAACAGACTTTTGTCTAAAAACTGTTGAGATACTTTGGACAGTATTTTTACCTATGAAATATAAATGAGGTTGATATTTGTTTCACATGAAGTAAAGAATAATAAAAAAAGACTGCCGAAAAATTTAAATTGATTAAACACAGCGTCACTGTAGCTCACCTATTATTACTGCATTTCACTGCCAACCTGGTTTGCTACAGTGGTGAAGCAACAACTCACAAATAATTAAGATACCTAAAGTAGTCAAAACAAAACTAGAAAGACACAACATTTTTTAATCATCCTTTTTATACAACTCGGCAGAAATTCCTTAATGCCTGGTGAACTGGATAAAAATCGCCACTTGAAGGAGTTTAGGCAACACAAAAAGAGAAATTTCCCATTCCACGATAATAGAGATGCTGCGATAATAGGGAGTCCGACTAAACTTAAAAAATATAGCAACGGCATACTAAAGTTATATTGCAAATGTTTCTATTTTGGGAGAATCTGTATACATTTGTAAAATGTTATGTAATTGGCGCACGGATGATTTTCAGCAAAACATTCTCGGAACTCTTTCCATGCATAGGATTTAACTAAGCTTCTTAGACTTTCGACAAAAGTATATTATAATATTTGTGGATTTATTTTATTTACCTCCTATTTTCAATTATGATATGATTTTAAATATTATGCATGCAGTTGTTTTTACCAAAATGGAAAGAAATTCATTTATTTCATATATAAACAAACGCGCATTTAATAACAATGTCGGATGACAAATCCACATTGGTTTAGGAAGTAGGACACAATGGAGACTTTCGTGGCAGCCAATTTGACTCATCTGCAGACGATGACGTTCTTGGTGCTTCCTTGACGTTCGATATTGTTCAAATTATTTTTCTATGTAGTTAATATTAGTCATTCTTTCAATGTTAAAGTCCACAACTGTGTAGAATTTAGTTTATGCAAGAAAAAAATTGGTCCAAGTACTAAGTGCGCAAAAAATGGCCAATGTTTTTCTACATCACTACCTCGTGTTGGTTCAGCATCAGAGGTGACGGAATGTTGCAACCTAACGCTGCTTTTTCCTTCGTATATCATCTCAATGAAGGTCAGTAATTGCAAAAATGATGATATATTGATAAGACATGAATCTGGGACTGAGAAACATTTCCAATTTTGTTAGGAAATACTTAAAAAAAATCTTGACTCTCCATAGACTTTGTACACAACTGCAGAAGTAGCGTCAGGTTGCAACATTCTTTCCGAGGTGACTGTTGGCTCTCCAAGAAAGCCTTCTAAAACCTCTTCCACCGCCTCAAAAGAGATCCCATCTGCGAATGGTTTCTTTGTTAAATGTTTTATGCCTGGTTTTTATGAACTGCCACTTTGAAAACTGCTGTGAAGATTTGGATTTGAGTAGAAAATGAGATTTCTACTGATTTCATTGGCGTAGCCATTTTATAACATTTTTTTGACATCATACATGTTAACTTGACAGTTTTTCTCAATTGTTTTTTTCGCAACTGTAGGCGCATCCATCAGTGCAGACGAAAGGCGCTGAGGCAGACTGGACGCCCATACAATGCACAGACAGGGAGTGTAGCCACTCCTTGATGAAGGCTCCGCATCTGCACTGTCCATTCTGCTCCCAGGACAGTCTCTTCACTGATGAGATTCTCCTCAAGGCGCACTACGTACAGGGTCAAGTACGTGGATAAAGGCATCAACTTTGGGGGTGAGTTTGGGAACAAGACCAAGTGCACCAGACTTTTCCAACTGATGCGCACTGTGCTGCATGTGGCAGGGTTAGGGTTAATTATAAAGATAAGTTGAAGGTAGTGGACAGCAGGACAAGGTAGTGGCATTTGTGGGAGTTTTATGAAATTGACAGATACCTGGGCTGGTTATTCTTAGCAGATATCAGTGTTCGATAAACTCCCTGTAGAGGGGTGTTTCAAAAAAGCATGAAGTGAACTTGTTGAACAAAATCTGGGGGGTTTTTTACCGAAAAGTTTTGACTCAAGTATCCATTCTTTTGAGAATGATTAGACACACCTTTTTGGTTTAAAGTGTTTGAAAGCGCACTTATTTTTAACCTTCACAGTTTCAGTGCTGTTTCAAGACAACTGAGTATGCCGTTGCTGTGATGTAATGGTCCCCTTGTATAATCTGCATGAAAAAAAACCCCATGAAATAAATTTAATCAGTTGAAATTTATGTACCTTGTGAGCAGGTATGGTAGTTCTACAAGGATTTGGGTGGATTATATCAAATGCCAACACTTCGTGTCTTTTAAAATAATTAATTGTGAACCTAATTTTATCACTGTACGTTTGTGTCGTAAATTGAATCTTTTGCTACCTTGCAGGTTTAAGTCTCATTTTATCAACCTTAACGACTGCACTCCACCATTTTTACCCAGGATGTCAACCAGATCTTCACCACATACACTGACCCAGCACCCAACAGTACCAGCCTGGTAACACACCTCATAGTCCCCCAGTCACAGCAGCCATCGGAGACGGACACATCATCCCTGGGGCTATAAGCAGACTGATGGGCAGCAGCCGCAGATCGAGTACCAGTATGCCTGCATCAATGATCCAAGCCAGAGCACTGCCAATGGGGAAGGTAAGATGGTAAGAATATTAACCCTGACCCTCCAAGAATCCTTCAGCATCTACCCAGAGGTTAAGGTGGATAATGCCACCAGCAGTGAAGGATAATTAGAAGAAGCTGACCAAAAAGCCAAGGGGGAGGCAATTGATGCAAGGAAGAACTCTTCCCCCAACCCCATCCCCCCCCCCACTTTGTTTTCAATTGATATATCGTGAATCCATATGGAAGAAGGGAATGGGTAAACAACAGCATGTTTAATACAGTTGTCTTCACTCCTGCACTTGTTTGGTCAATAAAATAAATAAAACAACAACCAAAAGTTCAGCATTTTTTTTAGAGGGTTGGGGTGGGTGAGGGCCAATATTGACAGTGGATTTTACAAATTGAAATTACAAGGTGCAAAGGGTGTGCCATTGGTGTTATAAGTTGATTGAATTTTGGAGGATTCAGGAAGGTTCTAAGCAACAAAAAAAATCTAATAAGTCAGGGTGGCAGTACATTTTGAGAGCTGACTTCAACAATTAATTAAATATTGGCATTTGTCCTTCACCTTGCCCACCTAATGTAAGGAATAAGGTTTGAAAAAGTGAGTGATTGCTTGCACCCAGTTACAAGGAATTACATGTTCTTGACACACTGCATCACTTTGGACTTTCTTGCCTGTATCCTGTTTTTACCGCTACATATCATCTGTCCCATTCAAGCGCAACATATATGTCGACCTTTCTACTCCATAAACTCCTCCCATCATTTCCCCTCTTTGTGTAGCCCACACCTGGAGTGACCTTTTGATGACCGACTTTCATTATTACAGGAATTATTATCCAGGATAATTACTCAACCTTTCCCTCTCGTAAACAGTTGTCCTTATTGAAATACCAGATGAAGGAAGCAAAGAGGATTTGGAGGATGAGACTTGCTACACAGAGCACAACTTGTCGCTGCTGCTGCAGGAGAAGGAACGTCTGGAGAAGACTCTTGAGGAGGAGCGGACCACGTGGGCCCAGACAGAGCACAGGATGAAAGGCACTATAGAAAGGCTTCGTACAAAGGTGAGTGGGCATTCCATCTGGTCTTGGTCTAAGAATGAGTTTGGATCTTGTTCCCTGCATGCAACAGGTACCAAGGGCGTCAATCGCTTCTTAAACGTGGGAGGGGGGACATACCTTGATCAGAACTAATGCAGGCACACTAATGCGACTGCGTTCTTTCAGTGGTCAGATTTCTGTCAGGATGCCAGCTGTCATGGCTGTGGGCGATCATGGTGTGCACTGTTGTTGTCATTGCTCTACATTTTCTACACGTTCTACGTTGTTCTATGCGCTGACACTGCTTATGATAAATGCAGACAAACTGTTCCACACATTTTGTACACAAGCTCAGATGTGTCGTTTATCCTTGTGTAGAGGATTCGTGGTTTCACTCATACTCTAGTTGCACTAAATAACTGGGTAACAACACATGTGCCTTCTTAAGCATTCATGCTCCAACTGCACACATCATAAAGTGCATAAATGTCAGACTTTGGTGTGCGCTGTCATGGTTGTGATTGGTTACACATCATGGGTCAGAGCCTAATGGATTGGTCTATTAAAATTCCATCTGTAAACAAATAATTTCTCTGCCCATCCGTCTTGCCCTCCAGGTTGAGTATTTGTCCAACACAAACATGTCACTCAAGCAGCAGCTGTCCATGATGCACACGTCCAGTTTGAAACGTCTAACCAACGACAGCGAGAACCAGTCCATTTTGCAAGAGTTACTGCAACACATGTCTGAGGAGCACACCCAGCTGCTGCACCACCATCTAGCACAGCTACGGCTGTACACTCAGGCCTGCGCATTATCCAAATCAGCCCCCGAGGAATCTGCAGCTGAATCTACAGTCTTGGTACCAGACCTGGCTGACCAATCACAGGACATCTCACACATGGCCATGATGTCGTCCTCGGAGGGCACCCTTGGGAACATGGAGCAGACAGTCGTCATGACGATAACGTCTGAGGAGGATTCGGAGCCGCTCGGCAACATCGTGGATAACCCCGGAGATACTGTGGGACATGACTCCTTGACTTTGGATAAGGACGTTCACTTGTCACCAAATGACATTCTGTACCAACTGACAAGCGAGGGACTGTCACTAAGACATGACACCTCTGAGTCGGGTCACGTTTATCAATCAGGTAGAACTCATTCACATCACAACACAGGCTGTGATGTCACTCAACAGGATTTTCACAAGAACAAAAGTTTGAAATTGGTTCTTTCCAACAGCACGCCATAAATATTCTGCCCCGATGGCTTTGACAAGAGAACGTTTGAAGACAACATCTCAACTGAGGGACCACCATTAAAATGAGGAAAACTAACAGCCTGAAAGCCACTTAACTAAATAAAACCTGACATATGTTGTAAACAGTGTACACTCAGTGTTGTCTTAGGGCTTAGTTGGGGGGGGGGGGAGTTGAACTAATGAGTTGAGTCTTCATGGAAGTTTGTCTTACCTGAATGAAAAATTTTACCAAAGCAACTGGCCTTGGTCTCTCCTATCTTTTCGAGTTCTCGATGGGCAATCCCGAATCCGCTCAGTGAATGGGCGTCGTTGTAGGCCCAAACAGATCCATGTAGGTCCTCAAATCTATTACTGAAACATAAACGATGCAATTATGATTAACATTGAAACATTTGGTCGTATGTATAAAAACTAGCATTTGCTTTTTTTTTACTACATATTTTTAAGCATAACTTTTATATGCATGAATAAAAATGAGAGCAAATGCTTTCACTATTTGCTTCAAGCTAAAAGTATTTGCTTTTTTACTTTTTGGCTTTTGCTAGACTAGAAGTGTGGACTGGTTTCAAACTTGAAAAAATATAAATTTCAATTGACCTCAAAATTAATAAAATTTTAAAATCTAAAACTCCAACTGTGGGACTTGAACCAGCAACCTTCAGAAGTTCAGATTTAGGGTCATCAGTCCGTATTACTTGATTAAGCACAACTTCACACTATTTTGTGGTTACAAAATTAACTGTAAAGTTTCAATTGACCTAAAAAGTAGTAAAATTTTGAAATCTAAAATTCCCAGCGTGGGAATGAACCTGCAACCTTTAGATTTAGAGTCAGCAGTCTGAACCACTGCACTAAGCATAATTTCATGCTTTTTAGTGGTTACGGAATTAACTATCAAGTTTCAATTTACCCAAAAGAAATAAAACTTTAAAATCTAAATTTCCCACCCTGGATTTGAACCCACAACCTTCAGATTTCAAGTCAGCAGTCCATACCATTGGACTAAGCATAATTTCACACTTTTTAGTGGTTACAAAATTAACTATAAAGTTTCAATTTACCCAAAAATAAATAAAATCTAAAATCTTAAATTTCCAACCTGGATTTGAACCCGCAACCTTCAGATTTAGAGTCAGCAGTCCATACCATTGGACTAAGCATAATTTCACACTTTTTAGTGGTTATGAAATTAACTATAAAATTTAAATTTACCCTAAAAGACATACAATTTTAAAATCTAAAATTTCCACCCTGGATTTGAACCCACAACCTTCAGATTTAGAGTCAGTAGTCCTTACCATTGGACTAAGTGTAATTTCACAATTTTTAAAGGTTACGATATTAACTATAATGATTTAATTTACCCAAAAAAGTAATAAAATTTTAAAATCTAAAATTCCCACCCTGGAATTGAACCCACAACCTTCAGATTTCAAGTCAGCAGTCCATACCATTGGACTAAGCATAATTTCACACTTTTTAGTGGTTACGAAATTAACTATGAAGTTAAATTTACCCAAAAGACATAAAATTTCAAAAACCAAAACTCCACCCCTGGATTTGAACCCACAACCTTCAGATTTCAAGTCAGCCGTCCGTACCATTGGACTAAGCATAATTTCACACTTTTTAGTGGTTACAAAATTAACTATCAAGTTTAAATTTACCCAAAAAGAACTAAATTTTAAAATCTAAAATTCCCCCCCTGGAATTGAACCCGCAACCTTCAGATTTCGAGTCAGTAGTCCATACCATTAGTCTAAGCCTAATTTCACACTTTTTAAAGGTTACAAAATTAACTATAATGTTTTAATTTACCCCAAAAAGTAATAAATTTTAAAATCTAAAATTCCCACTCTGGAATTGAACCCACAACCTTCAGATTTCGAGTCAGTAGTCCATACCATTGGACTAAGTGTAATTTCACAATTTTTAAAGGTTACGAAATTAACAATAATGTTTTATTTTACCCAAAAAAGTAATAAAATTTAAAATGTAAAATTCCCACCCTGGAATTGAACCCACAACCTTCAGATTTCGAGTCAGTAGTCCATACCATTGGACTAAGTGTAATTTCACAATTTTTAAATGTTACGAAATTAACTATGAAGTTTCAATTTACCCAAAAATAAATAAAATATAAAATTTCCAACCTGGATTTGAACCCGCAACCTTCAGATTTAGAGTCAGCAGTCCATACCATTGGACTAAGCATAATTTCACACTTTTTTGTGGGTACGAAATTAACTATAAATTTAAATTTACCCAAAAAGACATAAAATTTTAAAATCTAAAATTTCCACCCTGGATTTGAACCGACAACCTTCAGATTTAGAGTCAGTAGTCCATACCATTGGACTAAGTGTAATTTCACAATTTTTAAGGTTACGAAATTAACTATAATGTTAATTACCCCAAAAAGTAATAAAATTTTAAAATCAAAATTCCCTCCCTGGAATTGAACCCACAACCTTCAGATTTTGAGTCAGCAGTCCATACCATTGGACTAAGTGTAATTTCACAATTTTTAAATGTTACGAAATTAACTATGAAGTTTCAATTTACCCAAAAATAAATAAAATCTAAAATTTCCAACCTGAATTTGAACCCGCAACCTTCAGATTTAGAGTCAGCAGTCCATACCATTGGACTAAGCATAATTTCACTCTTTTTTGTCGTTACGAAATTAACTATAAAATTTAAATTTACCCAAAAAGACATAAAATTTTAAATCTAAAATTTCCACCCTGGATTTGAACCCACAACCTTCAGATTTCGAGTCAGTAGTCCACACCATTGGACTAAGTGTAATTTCACAATTTTTAAAGGTTACGAAATTAACTATAATGTTTTTATTTACCCAAAAAGTAATAAAATTTTAAAATCTAAAATTCCCACCCTGGAATTGAACCCACAACCTTCAGATTTCGAGTCAGTAGTCCATACCATTGGACTAAGTGTAATTTCACAATTTTTAAATGTTACGAAATTAACTATGAAGTTTCAATTTACCCAAAATAAATAAAATCTAAAATTTCCAACCTGGATTTGAACCCGCAACCTTCAGATTTAGAGTCAGCAGTCCATACCATTTGACTAAGCATAATTTCACACTTTTTTGTGGGTACGAAATTAACTATTAAATTTAAATTTACCCAAAAAGACATAACATTTTAAAATCTAAAATTTCCACCCTGGATTTGTACCCTCATCCTTCAGATTTAGACTCAGCAGTCCATACCATTGGACTAAGCATAATTTCACACTTTTGAGTGGTTACAAAATTAACTATCAAGTTTAAATTGACCCAAAAAGAAATAAATTTTAAATCTAAAATTTCCACCCTGGATTTGAACCCACAACCTTCAGATTTCGAGTCAGTAGTCCATACCATTGGACTAAGTGTAATTTCACGATTTTTAAATGTTACGAAATTAACTATGAAGTTTCAATTTACCCAAAAATAAATAATCTAAAATCTAAAATTTCCAACCTGGATTTGAACCCGCAACCTTCAGATTTAGAGTCAGCAGTCCATACCATTGGACAAAGCATAATTTCACAATTTTTAAAGGTTACGAAATTAACTATAATGATTTAATTTACCCAAAAAGGAATGAATTTTAAAATCTAAAATTCCCACCCTGGAATTGAACCGACAACCTTCAGATTTAGAGTCAGCAGTCCATACCATTGGACTTAGTGTAATTTCACAATTTTTAAAGGTTACGAAATTAACTATGAAGTTTCAATTTACCCAAAAAAAAATAAATCTAAAATCTAAAATTTCCAACCTGGATTTGAACCCGCAACCTTCAGATTTAGAGTCAGCAGTCCATACCATTGGACTAAGCATAATTTCACACTTTTTAGTGGTTACAAAATTAACTATAAAGTTTCAATTTACCCAAAAATAAATAAAATCTAAAATCTTAAATTTCCAACCTGGATTTGAACCCGCAACCTTCAGATTTAGAGTCAGCAGTCCATACCATTGGACTAAGCATAATTTCACACTTTTTAGTGGTTATGAAATTAACTATAAAATTTAAATTTACCCTAAAAGACATACAATTTAAAATCTAAAATTTCCACCCTGGATTTGAACCCACAACCTTCAGATTTAGAGTCAGTAGTCCTTACCATTGGACTAAGTGTAATTTCACAATTTTTAAAGGTTACGATATTAACTATAATGATTTAAATTTACCCAAAAAGTAATAAAATTTTAAAATCTAAAATTCCCACCCTGGAATTGAACCCACAACCTTCAGATTTCAAGTCAGCAGTCCATACCATTGGACTAAGCATAATTTCACACTTTTTAGTGGTTACGAAATTAACTATGAAGTTAAATTTACCCCAAA